GGACGCAGTGGCTAGGTGGTGGTGGCAATGGCAGTGGTTGGGTGGTTGGAGATGGGATGATGTGAAAGTTGATGAAGAGAGTGTTATTGAAATAAATTTAAAAGTAAGATAATTATTTTTATAATTATACTAATTTAGGGGTTAGAAAGTAATTTATTAATTTATTTGTCAAGGGCAATATAGTAATAACATCTTCTGCATATGTGTCAAAAGACTTAAAACCTAAAAACCGTTAACGGTGCCTACTTTAAGGGTGTGAATATGAAATTTATAAAATAAGGGATGAGAACTTACTATTTCGTGAAACCTTGGGTGGGAACACATTGTTTACTCTTTTATAAATTTATTATTATTATTATTATTAAGAGTAATAATGAGAATAAGATAAATAGAAAGTGGAGTGTGATTTGAGGCCAATAGAATAGAGAAGAAAACAGGCGGGTGTCAAGAGTAAGGAATAAGATTACACCTAATCCCAGCATGATCAACATCTAATTATAAATTATTATAATAATAAAGAAAACAGGAGAGATGGAAAAGTCGACAACTAGAAGCAGCATTTGCAAGTTGATCATGGTGGGACACCACCAACAATGAATATCATAAGTTAAGAGATTGACTTTACCCTTATCCTTTGTATCAATATGTCTATAAACAATGTATTTGATTTTTGTGTTCTATTCCGACCTATCCCAGATGCTTCATCCATCATAATTACCATGTGTTTTTTTCTTTCTTAAAATTTGATCTCAAAATTAAAACTTTAAATTACATCATTAGAATAACGTAAGATATTATGAAATCATAAAAATAAATACAAACTCTCTCTTCTTCAATAATGTACAAACAACTAGACAAGTCGACACAATAAACGACAAACAACGTCGCTGTTTTAACAATGATGACGTCACTATAAAGAAAAAATAAAACCACGTGATATATATCCCCTCCTCCTACTTTACAGTATACACCATCACCATGGAAGTTTCAAAGAAACCAAGTTCCATTTACATTATTATTATATTATTCCCTCATTCATGCACCTACCCTTCCTATATATTTCCCTCTTCTCTTTAAATTCCAAAAATTCCCCTTCCCCTCACAAGCACAATAATCAAATCTCTTCTCTCCTTTCCTCTCTATACCCAATTCAACCAATTATAATGTACGGACACAGCTTTGCCCAATCTGATTTTGCAATTTTAGACTCAGTTCGCCGTCATTTACTCGGTGAATCCGACCCTGGACTCACTGTTTCAACCGCTACTTGTAATTCCACTGCCACTGCGCCTCCTCCTACTGCTACTGCTTATTGCCGGAGTTCCAGCTTTGGCTGCTTGGACCCTTGTTTAACTGACACCTGGGGGGATCTTCCTTTGAAGGAAAACGATTCCGAGGATATGCTTGTCTACAATTTCTTGCGGGATGCCCTCACTGAAGGTTGGGTCCCCGTCCCACAGGAGGTTACAGAAAGCTGTCAGCTTAATTTTCCGGTGAAGGAGGAGCCTTTTGTGGCCCCCGAACAACAGATTACAGCAACTCCTGCTGCCACAGCGGCGGCCCCTGCTCCGGCGGTGGCTGTCCCTTCCAAGGGAAAGCACTACAGGGGAGTTAGACAGAGACCCTGGGGGAAGTTCGCCGCAGAAATTCGGGACCCGGCGAAAAATGGAGCCCGGGTTTGGTTGGGGACTTTCGAGACGGCTGAGGATGCCGCTTTGGCTTATGACCGAGCCGCTTATAGGATGAGGGGTTCCAGAGCTTTGTTGAATTTTCCTTTGAGGATTAATTCTGGCGAACCAGAGCCGGTTAGAATTACGTCGAAGAGATCATCGCCGGAGCCGACTTCTTCATCGGAGAGTAAGTCGCCAAAGAGGAGGAGAAAGGTGGGTGGTGGTAGGTCAGCGGCGGCTCAAGCCGGGTTGGAAATGGGATGTGGAGTTGCACAAGTGGCATCGAGTACACGTGTGGAAGAATTAATGGTTTTATAATGGTGAGGTGGAAGATATTTTGAGTGACTCAAAAAATTGATGGTATCCGGAGTTGTATGTAGTGTATGAGGGTATAATCATTTTTTGGGTGACCAAAGTTTTGGAGCTTCTTTTCTTTTAGGGACAAAAATAAATTAGTGATGAGTTTGTTTTGGTTTGTGAATATACAAAAACTTGTTTTTTTTTTTAATTGTTTTATGAAATTAAATATCTCCCACTGTTTAAAAAATATTTCATTCTTTTGTTGGCCACTTATATTGTCTTTGATTATTAAGAATGCCAATTATAAAGCACAGAATTTGAAATCCATCTAATTACTGCTCAAAATTCAATGACATGAAATGTGTCAACTTGAAATAGGAGCTTCAACATTTTCCATATTTATGTCTTAATGTTTTGGATTATATTAAAAATAGATACGAGACTGTTATGTCTTGCTTTTACCGTTTTCATCTCTTAAAAGATGTTTAAATCAAAGATGGATTCGATTCTAGTTAGTAGTTAGATTGTGCTTGAGTTGAGAAGAAGATGACCCCATCTCTTACTGTTTATTAAAAAACAATTATAAGAATAATACTGGAGGTATTAACAGATTTTACTAATCAGTGTATTAATCTTTGTTAAAATCATACATAGTATCCGTACTATGCTTTAAGTTAGTACACTGATTAGTAAAATCTGTTAGTACCCATAGCATTACCCCAATTATAATAAGACTCCATCCATAGTTTACTGTAAAAATAATATGAGTAATAGTACATTTATACCACTTTTTTATACCATTTTCATTACATCATAATGTAGCATATATCAAATGCCGAGCAACCATTCTATTAAAGATTTTGCTTAAGGATAATCGTGCTGGAAAAGACTGAAATGCCCTTGAAATTTTTTATCTTCTCTTCTTCGTCTTTTTGGTCTCTGTTTTCTTCCATCTCTTTATTTTCCTCTCTCTTATTCTCTCATGGATTTTGCCAGAATTCAAATGGTAGAAGGGTAAATTTTATTGATTATGTTTACTCTAATTAAAATTAAATTTCCTAAAACCTCTCACAAGATCTCTTTCTTGTAAAATCATCTACACAACCACTTCACAGTCCAGTCCAATCTCCCCCATCCTCCACCGTTGCAAACTTCTCAAAACCACCAACAAACACATCTTCGTAACCTTGAAGAATTTTTTCAGAAGCGAATATCACCATCCTTTGGCAGCCAATAATTCCCTCTTTCACCCAGCAAACCCACTCACCCCATTCACCTTGCTCCCATCCCAACAAACCCACCTCACCCTTTCCTCATGTCCAACAACCTATCAACTCGCCCAACAACCCCAAAAAGACATCATCCGCAACCACTTCACCGCGCAAAACAACCTGCAGCTCCGTAATCCTCAGTAAAAAATCAGAATAGTCACAATCAATTCTTTTGGGCTTTTTTTTTTTTAAGAAAATAAAAAGGAAAAAAGAAGGGGTGTGGAGATCTTTGTGCCCTGAGGGGAAGGGTAGAAACGAACGGTGGTTGTGGATTAGGGACGGAGAAAGAGGGGATTATTGGCTGCTAAAGTAAAGAGGAAGATAAGGAGATGAAAACACAGACAAAGATGAAGATAAAAAGGGTTATCAAACTTTAAAGGACATTTTAGTCTTTTACATCACTGTTATCTTTAACAAACAGAAATCTTTAACAGAGTTTAACCAAAAATAATTATTTGTTATTTTCTAACCTTTTGAGTATCATATTGTCTTTACGGTAAAATATAGATAGGTGCATGTCGTTTGCCCATTATAATAATAAATGCAACTTAATCAATTATAATAATAAATGTAAATTGATCAATTAACAATAATACTATACTTATAAAGATTTTCATACAAAGTGAGGTGACAAAAAATAAATGGAAGAGTGAAATAAAAAGTCAAATTTATTAAATTTATTTTTTATCATATCATTTTGTATAAATATCTTTGTAAAATTTATTTATAAGTGTAGTATTACTCATCAATTAATTTCGTCTAAACATAATTGAGTTCAATTAATACGACTTCACATTTGATCTGGCCTTTTAATTTGTGACCACAGGTTTATTCGTAATCGTTACAAGAGTAACGAATTGAAGGTGACATTTTGGATAAGGTGATGGAGACAAGTACAACTAGCACATTGTCTAATGACATGGACTTATAAACCACTTCAAAATATTTATTTCTTAATATAGCTACACCTATCGTATTCTCATTCTCAACTGTTAACCTATTATTTCCCTTTAGGGATACATGGTAGATATTGTTTATTTGTCAAGTTATTCAAGACTCAAAGATCCTCTGCATTAATAGCAAGAAGACAACAGCCCCCAAAGTGGGTCGTGTCAACCACAAACAGAAGGTGGGGCTGCCCGTGCGGGATTCTCAGATTGTTATATGGTCCAACTTACAACAGCTTTGCAATTGAAAATTTGACTTGACTACATGAGAGGATTGATTATTCAACATTTTCGGAAGACCTCTTTAAAAAATGCCTTCATGTTATGATATTTTTCTGACTTTTCTACTTATGTCGTTGTTCCTTCATTTATTGTCTAATGTAACTACATTATACAACTCAAATGGTGTGAGTAACAAGACAAAAATGGTGTATGAAGGAACATCTGCTCAAACATCGTTCAAACCTGTTTAACTTTCAATACCAAAAGGGGTAACTGTCATTCTATACTTTTGAATTGAAAGGGTGCATTCCAAATGGCTTTTTGTCAAAGTTAGGGAGGCATGCCAAGAAAACATTGAGCTGCACATAATTTTCAATTTTTACCTAAAATGTTGAGCGAGTGATTTCCTCACTATAACAACTTTATCTTGCTAGAGTACCAGAGGGAAAAAAAAATCATAAACAATATTAGGATCAAGATGCTATTGAGAACACCATAAAATATCACAATATGGTAAAGTTACGGTGAAATGCGTAATAAGACGGCATCATATTTTTCATTACATTTACAATTTTGCAAGTGCGCACTAAACAACCATAGGAAAGTTGGGTTTGGAAAACTCATGTTATAATATCAGCAGGCTTGTGAGTTTTCAACATACAACACTGTCATATTGCAACTCTATAATCATTAAAGAGTACTTTAAGCACAATTCTGCATAAAGTTTGAACAAATTTTGGCTGCAACAGTAGCTTGGATTTGTTCAATCCGGACTAAATTAAAACAATAAATAATTTTAGCAATTGCTCTTGCATATTAAGATACTAATCTAATGGGCTAAGAAAATCAGGCAAGCAACTGGAAAGAACATCAAGGAACTCATAACATTGAAAGGAATTATCTTTGGTTCTTAAAAACTAATATCTTGGCGACCATCTCCTGCAATTGGACAAGTAATGAGATTTTAATGACAGAACCAGAAAAAACATGGCGAGCAATGCATCCATAATCAACTTGATTGTTCATCCCAATATTCACTCTCAAATTTTTACCAAAGTGAATGAGATAAAGGACCTTCTAATTAAGCAATGTAAATAAAGTGAATAGATGTTAGTTTAGTCCTTAGTTCAACTAAAATATCCAGCTCGGTGCACAATGTGTGAACTGAAATACCTCTTTGATCGGCTTAGATCTTCTTCATAGTCCATTTCGCCATCAAACTCAGAGTACAAAGATTCTTGATGCACTCGAAACTGTTTACTAGCCTGGATGTTTTGTGAAACTTCAGTAAGCATATAAGACAAACTGACCAAACTATTGCAGCAAGTACAAATTACTTTGCTATGTATGCAAATACTATGAGAAAAACACTGCGAAAAGATGCAGGGAACTAATCATGAAAAATTGGACAGAGAAATATTAAGGAGAGATGAGAAAAAAACCTATCCCCAAAATTCATAAAAATAAGGTGTTTTTAAAGCTTTATGAAAACAATTTCATTCCAAGCCGTCTATTTGGCTTTTGAAACGGATTTCTTTAACAAATTTGTAAAACATGAAGTCAAGAATCACAGATAAGCAAGTTTCAAATTCTTCCAATAAATTATCACCACTCTTCAAAGTTTTGCACCTTCAAAAGCCACTTTTTCTTAAGCCCAGGCCATAAGCTTAATCTAATATCTTATAATAACTATATAGGAACTAAGCTTCTTATGTATGTGCTGAAGTAATTTCATAGTTTTATTTAACCATCAATTATAGAATGTATCTGAACAGCAAAACCGCTTTAAAGGGAATCAACTAATTGTAATCTTATCATGCAGAACAAGTTCAAAATAGAACTCTTGTACGTAAGTTGAATGCCAAAAATTACTTCATTTATGATAAAGGAAACTTGTGCAACCAATGTCAGTAGACGAAAAAAATCTAAACTTCCATAGATTAGGAGGTTAAATGCATACCTAAAAGCCATAGAAGCTAGCTTACAAACAAGAAGTTGGCAGACGATTGATTGTACTAACCTTGTGATGGAGGGATTTCTTTGCTTCTTGCAGCCGACTTTTGACTTCCTTCTTGTGATTTTTATCCGCTTCAGACATCATTTCAGCCCATTTAATCTTCTCTTGAATTGTGGAAAGGAGATTGTCTGAATTGTCCAACCTAAAATTTAAAATTAGTAAATCCTTTAGACCTTAATGAGACATCATGGAAACCAATAATAAATCAAAGAGAGACAGGAAGAATGTATAAGAAATAGAGAGAAATTTTATAGCTTTAGCTCATCATGAGATTAACAAAGCTAGGAATCACATATGATAGAGAGAAATTTTATAGCTTTAACTCATCATGAGATTAACAAAGCCAGGAATCACATATGACACAGCTTACTTCATAGATATAAAATCATTCTCTACCAGTCAGTACCCAGTTATAGGCACTGGTAAGGTCCAATCCAGGTTTAAATTCAACAAATCAAATAACAAGATATCAGTTCCAAGGCATTCAGAAACATAGTATTGTGTGAAAGTATATATTAGCAATATTTTGTTGAAAATAATGATCACTCATATCTTTATTAATTTACGTTTTACAGGAGGAAGAGGTAGAACTAAATCAATGTAGGATCCACGCAAAAGTATGCCAATCTTCACTAGCATTATTTCCCTCTCTGCATGGAGACCACAATAGCCAATAAAGTAACACTGAAAAGCTCATCAGATTACTTTTCTTTTTCCGCTTAAAAGGTATACGACAAAACATTTCTCCACTTCATTCATACTTCCCTAATTCAACATTTCTCCAATTCATTCATACTTCCCTAATTCAACATTTCTCCAATTCATTCATACTATCCTAATTCAACATTTCTCCTGGTGTAGGACCCTAAGAGGCAGAAGTTGGTCATGTCTGTAACCTTAAACATCTTTGCAGGAAGTTCTCACTATCACAGCTAAAAAGATGCACACCTGTGCTTCACAGTCTGGAAATGATATTGCATATGGTATACAGCTTCTTGCACTTTTTGGTATATCCAGCCCGTTACTTTTTCACCAGTAGTGCAAAGGAGCAAAAGCAGATAGCACATACATTGAATCTCAACCAATTTAAAGTAGCTGATCATTAATCAATAAATTTTAAAATCGAGTCATCATCACCCCATTCTACCAGGGGTATTTATAAGCTAACACAGTCCAAAAATGTACTCATATGGGGCAAACCTCACTTTCTTTAAAAAAAAAATTGCACTGCAGAGTCCTAGTGAGTAGTGAACATGGATTAAGCACCACTAGATAAAAAAATTTTGGTAAGACATAATAGGCATATTGATACACACAAGAGAGATGTTTTTGACAGTCATTTTTAACACTGCACCAACTAAGATAATCAATACCGTAACTTGAACTTGGATAGATAGTATTGAAAAGAGAGTGAACTGAAACATACCAATTTGTTAGCTTCTGCATCATGCTGTCAAGTTGGCCATGTCTCAAATCCCTCCCTGCCGCAAATTGCACCTACAAAGTTATGAAATCACTATCAATCACTGAGTTGTCCACATTAATTCTTAAAGGAACCCCAATCAATAAAATTTAAAAAAAATTAACCAAGGTGAAGAATTCAACCTCAAAGGATCTTCTTAAATGATCCAACTTCCCTTTGACTATGCCCTACAGAAACCATTTGAAGATAATCAGAATTTCTCCTTATAAATGGAAAAAGCAAGTGGCAGTATACCAAAGAAAGAAATACAGATTTACCAGATCTTTCGGAATGAAAAGGTCAATCAAAAGTAATACATGGAGGTCAAACATAAGGATACAATGTGGTCTCGTAAATTGTATCAATATATACACCAATTTTAAATGATTTTCATATTGTCATTTTTGTATACCAGTTTAAGTAATCAACTTATATTATCCTTATGAAAAACTTAATATTCACATATTCAAGTATGCACTATGCAAATCTCTCAAAATAAGATTCTTAAATGACTGGTTAGTAAATCTTTTCAGAAATAAGACAAAAGGACCAATACACCCACTAAATTGTATTCGTGATGGCTTCATGCTTTAGTAAAAGCCGCAGAAGAGCAGTAAGAAGACCTACCACATACATGCAATCATTGATAAGGAAGTCTTCAAGTTCACGCACGTTAGCAACCTCAAGTTCTTGTAGAAGTTGATCATATGAGAGAACCTAGGAGAATGTTCAACCATAGCTTCAGCAAAATTTTGCACAGATCAAACAGCATATAATTTTCACAAAAGAATGACAAAAAATCCAACATATTATTGGTCGGTCTTGGCATGATATTTATAAATGGGCAGGAGTAGAACTCCCAAAAGCTAGCTCAAAGTAGAAGACTGCCCAAACCACATATGAACACCATAACAGCCCAATAATCTGCTGATGTGGGACAAATGCAAATTCTAACACCCTCCATCACGTGTAGTGTCCAGGGCTGGGTTTTAAACCCAACATTGATTGCAAGCATTTGACTCTAAACAAAATGCAAATTCTAACACCCTCCATGGTTTAAGTAAAACTCACTTCTGAAAGCTAGCTCAAAAGAAGAGTGTGCTCAAACCACATATAAACACCATAACAACCAGCAACCTGACGATGTGGGACAAAGCAAATTTTAACAGATACATCGTTCAAAGATTTTCCTTCTAGTTGTGGCACAACATTGAAAAATTCATAAATTAGATTCAGAATAGATCAAGAAATTTCAAGGCTAAAATTAAAATTCTCCAACCCTAAACCCTAAACCCTAATCACAAAGACCTATTCTATTTCTTGCTGAATGAAGTAATAAATAGAAAAATTAATATTACACCCCATTCTGATCCCAGTTAATTTTTCAAGTCTTAACTTTATCGTTGTATGTTATTGGTCAAACGGTGCCAAAATGTCAGAAAAATCAGTGTAATTGAGAGATGATACATAAGAATATATAAAAAATGAAAGACTGATTGTGTCTTATTTTTTAGTCTTGTTTGTGTCCCTTTTTTTTCATTTTTATGGTGAGTAAAATGGCTTGACAGCATTAATATAAGATTGCTACTTTTGCAACAAGGCCGATAAAAAATAACCAAAATGAAATTAAGTCTCATAAAACAAATGCCAAAAAGTCAACGTTACCTATGTGCAGAATCAAATTTTATTAACTCCCATGAAAGCACAGATGCCATCATTCTGGAGAGTCAGGAAAATTGACAAATCTAGTTCTCATGAAAGAGCAACATCAAGCAACCAGAGATACAGAGCTCAGGAATAGGTTAACTGGATACCTTATTGGTCTCAGCAAGAGTAAGCACGCTAAGTTGTTTAAGCTTCACCACTTGAACCGGTACCAGCTGTGGTAGACGGGCTGCATTACCTAGGTAAATATACAAACAATTAAATCCACTAGTAAGAAAAATTGTGCAAGTTAAATGTCACCAGAGCAAGATAGACAGAAAATCAAAAACTCCAAAAGTAGATGTTTAAGTAATTAAATATAACAACTTAAAGAGACTGATCAAAGATATTAGTGTTTGTGTCATGATCCTCTTCCTCCATCATATACAGCCTACCATATCTAGTCTCAATGTGTCATGTCAGCTTGCTTAAAGTATATTTACAGGCATTTAATAAGATTTCAACAATTTTTTGTAAAATTAAAACAAAAAATTAATGTGTCATTTTTTCAAGATATTAGGTGTATTGTTTTCCTGAAAAAAAAGAAAAAAGAAAAAAAAGAACTAGTTCTTAAAGAGCTACCAAATAGCAAGAATTATTCATTCATTCTCTAATTAGCATTACTATGCAAAAATAACAAATAAGCAAGCGAACGCACACAAATACTTATATACGTATGTATAAAATCTACTAAGAATATGGCTTCCAGTTAAAGGGTACATTAAGGAACACTGACGCTGAGAGTCTAGATCTCATACGGATTTAGCCATAATCCTATCTTGTTTAAAATTTCGGCACTGTGCTCTAAATGGATAGTTTTCAAATCTATGAACCTCCAACTCTTTCTTTTTGCAAAAATAGTGCTACAAAGAGAACGAAAAGATGTAAAAAGGTTTCTTACTCTTGTAATCGGTCCATGTACCGTGAACAAAAAGCCGTAGCAATTCAAAGTAGGTCGAATTTTCCGTTCCCTCAAGCTGCATTTAAACGAATAATTGTTTAAGAATAATCAGAAAAATACAATCTACAACATCAATTAAATTAAGAATATCAAGTACGAAAATTCTGTTTAATTGAATGAATAAAAAATTCAAACCTGGAGGAGGTTGGGGACAGCTAGAATCTCGGAGAAGGCGAAGAGAGAAGGGTGAGAGGTGGCTTCGACAATGAGATTAGGCAAAGAGGAGAGAGTGAGAGTGGAAGCTTGCTTTACAAACTGCTCTATCAATTGCGGTTGTTTCTGTTCTATCTCCATTGTTAACAAAACACTGAAGCTTTGGGGGGAGATGCAGAGACGTTTTGCTCCAGATTCCGGTGCGTATATATAGGTACGGGTTATTTATATAGAGTTTTTACATGACGTATTGCAAACGTCCGCCTGGAGATAATGGGCAGTTGGGCTTGGGCACACATATAGTTTAATTTGGGCTTAGGATCTGAGTCCACTCTGTTTCCAGCCTTCTTGTATAGCCTAAAGTTCCAAGCCCACTTAGGATCTGAGTCCACTCTATTACCAGCCCTCTTGTATAGCCTAAAGTTCCAAGCCCAGTAAAATTTTCGCTCCAGGAAAGTGATTTTTAGCCCCCTGGATTAGTATCCCCCATTTTTAAATATGTATATTTTGTTTTGACAAGTTTAGCCTCAATTAAAAACTAGGGGTAAAGGCTGCTTGTCTATTTATTACTTGTATTTCAAGTATTCAAGTTTACCAATAAGATAAGAATACTTACTTTACATTTTGAACCACACAAAAAAAAAACTATTTATCTCAGAGAAGTCTAGTGAAACTTATGGGAAAATACCAACGGTTGCTATTGTATTTGTCAAAGCAAAATAGAATATGTTATATAGAATTAATTAGTCAGTTGAATATTCAGCAATTAGTAAATCGTTAATTTGGAATACAATTTTGAAATATTTGATTTATTAGATTTTGAAGTGAAATTTTTTAATATATTTTTAATTATAAAGCAAATTTGTACACTGTTTTATCCTTTTCTCAAACACTAATCGATGGTGTAGATGGAGGTTCTTTCTTCTTCTCCTCACGAATTTTTAGTTCCTCTTCATTTGCAACAACCAAATATTCCGTGTATTTAGATTGGAAATAATTACCATGACAGAATCCATGATATCAAACAATGCATCAATGACATCTTTGAATTTTTGTCTTGCAGTATTTAAATTCTCTAAGTTAGTGCGAACATTAGGTAGAATCTCTTTCAACTCCAACGGTCTGTTAGCCATTGCGGAATCAACAGGAAAAAAAAAAAAAACAATGAAATTCTATAAATTTATGAAAACGCTACAAATACAGACTTCCTTATAGTTATATAGAAATAAACACAACAAGACGGGTTAAATGTGAATATCAAATGAACCACTGACAAACCAGTAGACAATTTCTAATAAATAAAGAGATCGATTGAAATTTGTAGGTTTTTCTTTTTTTATTTTGCCCTTTATATTACACAAAATATCTATTACCATACCTTAAATTTTTGGAAATGAAAATGTAAGAGCTCTTGAGAGAGTTTTATCATTTATCCTTTATCCAAGTTCTTACCATGCTTGGTGGTGGAATCCAAAACCACCGGCCATGCCTTTACGTTTTGGAGACCCTTGGTTGGTGGCGTTGCCTTTAAGCCTTGGGAATTTGGCTTCTATCTTGTTAGTAATGTTCCATAGCCGGTGGTGAAGCCTTTACGCTTTGGAAACCATTGGCACTTATCTTTAATTTGTAAGTTATTATTTGTTGTGTCTATTTTCCATTGGCTAGTGGCGTAGCCTTTAAGCTGTGGATTGTTAGGCTATTATCCTTTATGTTATATTGTGTATTTTGTGTGTGTTTTGTGTTGTTTTAAGTGTTGTTTGGACTGCTGATTGGAGTTAGTTGTGTTATCATTTGCTATTGCTAGGTTAAAGCATTTTTAACTCACTCTAAGTTTCCGCGAACGCATCAAGTTGAACCATTTGCACCAATTTAGAGTGAGATATTAGCAACCAATCTTCAAACATGCAAGAACACACCAAGAACAATTGACCAAACCAACACACTCTCTTGCAAAACTCGGCCAAACAAGTAAGCACACAAAGAAACCCATAAAGTAACTTAACAAACAAATGAGCTAAAATACCCAAGGCCTAAAGGACGAACCACCAGCCAGGGAAAATCCACCACCAACCCTTAGCTAAGATTGGATAAAGGAATCAAAAACACATTCGCAAGAGCTGAAATTTTCGTTCATGAAGTCTGAAAATACAAAGGGAAAATTCGGCCTCTTATAAGTGGCCTTACAAGTTGCCCTAATACAACATTCAATCTAGGCCATCCATGTGGCACAAAAATAAAGATAAAATCAATCAAGACCTTACATGTGGCAGTCAAGAGAGATGTTAGTTCAAACGAATTCAAAGCTACATGGAAATAAGCAAAAGCAATAAACATAAATAAATCTTAAACAAATTCTAGGAGATTTCAAAAACATGTGACTTTCCATTTCGGGAAAGGGACAAGGAGCTGCCAAGTCTTCCATCCTTTTTTTTTTTGCCAAATCGAGTATAGAGTGTGACAGCTCATGTGTTTCCTTGTTCCCTTGCATTCAATGCTCCCCGCATGGTTCTTTGATTAATCCTCGGAATATTCCTTGATGCTTTAGTCTTTTTTGGTGGGAATAATCCAAATAAAGGAATTGGGCTCAAGTGTTGGGTTTGATTTACCTTGGGCCATTTGAGTCCACCTTGTACCAATTTACTTTCTTAGGCCAAATTCTCACTGAGGGTTTTGTCCTCTTTGGCCGAACCTTCACAAAGGTTTTTGGTTGGGTTTGATTTACCTTGGGCCATTTGAGTCCACCTTGTACCAATTTACTTTCTTAGGTCGAATTCTCACTAAGGGTTTTGTCCTCTTTGGCCGAACCTTCACAAAGGTTTTTGACAAGTGTAATGGCCTGATTTGTATAATCCTTTTGGGTTGGAAAGGATTTGCCCTCAAAGCTGCAAGGTGATGATCCTTCAAGTACGGAGACAAGTCCCCAATGTTGAATGTAGTCGATACTCCACTAAATTCACTTGGTAGATTGATCTTGTATGCATTGTCCCCAATCCTATTGAGGACTTCAAAATGACTATCGACCCTAGGTGCAAGTTTGCCCTTCCTCTTTGCTAAAAACCTTTATTTTCTTAAATGGACCCAAACCAAATCACCTGGTTGGAAATGAGCTGGTTTTCTATTCTTGTTGGCCCTTTTTTTGTAAGCCTCATTAGACTTTTCTATTTGCACTCTAATGGATTCATGAAGCTTCTTCATTGCCTTAGCCTTTTCTTCTGCATCCAAACTGACTTGAACATCAATAGGTACGGGAATCAATTCAATTGTAGTGATAGGATTCATACCATAAACAACCTCAAATGGAGTGTGGCCGGTTGTTGCACTTGGCGAGTGGTTGTAAGCAAATTCAGCGTGTGCAAGCTTGATATCCCAATCCTTCATGTTCTTGTTCGCCATTGTGCTAAGGAAAGTCCCCAAAGTTCAGTTTGTCACTTCGGTTAGGTTGTTTGTTTGGGGATGGTAAGATGTGCTAAACAATAGCTTGGTTCCAAACTTACTTTACAAAGTCCTCTAAAAGTGACTAAGGAACTTAGTGTTTCGGTCCAAAACAATGCTCCTAGGAACCCAATGCAACCTCACTATCTCGTTGAAGAACAAGTTAGCCACACTTGAATCATCTTCGGTCTTGTGACAAGGGATGAAATGAGCCATCTTTGAGAACCTATCAACTACCACCATAACTACATCTTTACCCCGCTGAGTTCTAGGCAAAGCTACCACAAAATTCGTACTTAAGTCCTCCCATGGTTGATCCGGAATTGGTAATGGAGTGTATAGGCCAGGTTTGAAATGACTCTTGGCCTTTTGACATGTACCATATCTAGCAATAATGGCTTGGACATCCTTTACCATATTTGGCCAATAAAAATGTTCCTTAATGATTTCTAAGGTCTTATGAACTCCAAAATGACCAGCAAGGCCCCCTCCATGTGTTTCCCTCACAATCAATTCCCTATAGCTACCCTTAGGCACACAAACCTGATTGCCCTTAAAAAGGAACCACTCTTAAACCGTATAATCCTCAAAGCTACCCTTCTCACACTTGGCCATAATCAATTTCATGTCATCATCATTTGCATAACATACTTTCATCAATTGAAACCCAAGTATTTTTGCATCCAAAGTAACAAGTAAGACATACTTCTGTGATGAAGCATCTGCCACCACGTTGTGCACTCCTTGCTTATATTTGGAAACAAAGGAAAAGGATTGCAAAAACTCAAGCCACTCGACATGTCTAGAGCTCAACTTATGCTGCCCATTTATGAACTTCAATGCTTGATGATCTGAGTGAAGAACAAATTATTTGGACCTTAGGTAATGGCTCCAATGAACTAAGACCCTCACAATGACATATAACTCCTTGTCATATGTGTTCTACCTCCTCCATGAGCCATTTAACTTTTCCCTAAAATAGGCTATGGGATGCTTGGATTGAGTAAGGACTACCCCTATTCCAACCCCACTAACATCACACTCAACCTAAAAAACATGGTTAAAATCGGGTAAGGCAAGGATGGGTGCCATGATGCATTTGACGATGGGTGCCATGATAGTGCTGAAATTTGGTACAAACCGCCTATAAAAAGAGGCTAATCCATGGAAACTCGTAACCTTGATTATGGATTTCAATTGGGGCCAGCTCTTGATTGCTTCCACCTTGGATTCATCCACCATTATACTCTCCTTGGACACAGCATAACCTATAAACATAATTTGGGTAAAAAAGAATTCACACTGAATGTTTTAAAAACCGGACCGCTCCTTGACCCAATTAAGGGGCTAGTTCTTGGGTTGATCAGTCCAATCGGTCGGTCTAATCGGTATACAGCAGACACATCTTTAAACAATTACGATAAGTCCGTATAAGTTTGAAAACTAGTAAACACACCCCTAAAATTTACCCATGAGTCTTTTTAAGTTTGAAATAAAGCAAACACACCCTTGTAGCTTTTATTATTAATTATTTTTTTCTCTCTCCCCGCCACTTGCTTCTTGCTTCTTTCTTCTCTCTCTCCCTGTCACTTTCTTCTTTCTTCTATCACTTTCCCCTCTCTTTATTGTAACTTTTTTGTCTCATCTTCTCTTTCTTCTTCCTTTCTCTTTCTCCTCTTCTCTTTCTTCTTCCTTTCCCTCCCCCTTAC